CTACCCTTGCCGTGCGCGCCGCTTTCCCGCTCAGCCATGATGCATATTCTGCTTGAATTCGATGTGTCTGTTTCCTATATTTATTGCGCCCTATGACGTGTTTGCCTTCCCTGAACATTTGCAGATGTCGATGAGGTACGCGCAGGCTTGAACTAGTCGCATCCCAAACGAGTATCTGGAGCCATGAGCCCAATTCTCATTGGCCGATTTGTTGTAGCGGGGGTGCTAGATGCAGATTCTGTGGTTCAAAGCACCGGAGATGCTGTGCTCATGCCTTCCAATTTCCTCCGTGCAGCTAAAAAAACAAAAAAGGGCCCCCGTGCCAGGCTACAGCTTGGACGTCCACGCAGAAGCTGAGAGCACCCTGCAGCGGGCGCATCAGTTGCTGCAGTCCAGGTAAAGACAGACGCTTCGCGCGCCTCACGTCAGCAGTGTCCTTTGCATCTGGCCCATGCTATGAAATTGCCCACTTGGGAAGATAGCCATGCACATGAGCAAGCTCTAGATGTCAAAGGAGATCTTTCAAGAACTTCCGTGGATTTGCTTGCGTACTTTCGCGCGGAGGGATCGTGTCGTACGCCAACCTGGCAGGCTTTGCCGAATCGTAGCCCGCCAAGTTTCGCAAGGAGCTAGGGTTCTTCTTTATGCTGTGCATGACATTTTTGGCTTTAGGATGTAGGTTGGTGTGACCTCAGGGTGTCCACCAATGTAACATGTTTGCTGCCTTGGCGCTGAATTGTCACTATGTGTGTGTGTTTGTGTTTCTCTACCGTCCGGAATTATAGAACTGGTCGGACTGGCCTTTGACAGATGTGTGCAAAACCAAGCTTGTTCGATGTTTCCTCGCGGCGGATGTGTGGAGAGTACAAAGAACGACAGGTCAGCCTAGTGACGTCTAGTAAGCAAATGTGCGGTGTCGTGAGAAAGGTCAATGTGATCAAATTCACGACTCATAGAGCGCACACACAATAAATATAACCTTTGTGTGCCACTGTTTTCCAGGCTTGGCGATCCTAAATGCTAGAACTACTGTTGGCTCTGTGTCAACGTGCTCAGACTTGTGACTCAATTCAGAATCAGCTTGATACAGAATGAGAACATACTGGCCTGTATAGCAACAAAACAAATGACAGGAATCAAAGTGAGTGGCGTGCTGCGAAAATAAGTAATCAAGAAAGTCCCAGCTATGTTCACTAATCACAACCAGACAGCGGTGTTTTGACCCCATCCCAGCAACAAATAATATCTATTACTGACATTGCGTGAGTTTAGTGAACACGCGAACACTGCTCAAATGCCCAGTCCCCAGGCAAACATGTTCACTCAAACTATATGATGGTCACATAGATCATCAGGAAAGACTCCACAAGTTGCCTTCGGTTGCTAAAACATGAGCGATTGTGTGGTGAGAGCCAGTTAATTATGTTCAACTCATTACGCCAATGTTCCCAGCAACTTTGCAAATGTCTTTGATCACGTGTATCTGTTTCCCAAATGTCAAGGATGTTCCCAAAAAGTTGCTATGTCTTCAAAGGTCGATTAAAGTAGGCAAACTCTTTGTGAGTGGCACTGAATTGTTGTTTGGGTTAGGCACCTGGATTCCCAGTTGTGTCTGGTTACCCTTAATTGGTGGTCCGGATTTGATTTGTGGTTTGGGGAATTGAACCCCAGGTTCTTGTTGAGGGTAAATGAGAAGATACCACCGCCAAACCACCAATCCAAGTCACCAAGTACCGGGAAGCTACACATGAGCATCGGGCTTTGTTGTGTTCACGCACACACATCGACTAGGTTATTGTTTCCGACACTTTGGCTGAAACTAACAATCTTAGCTGCTTCGCACACGGCTATTGCTTGACAAACCATTCAACCCACGGTATTCGGCAGGCCATCTAGCTTCTTAGCATAGTGGGGCAAAGTTTCCCGTACGCACGGTGAGCCTCGGCAAAGTCCGAAAGGGGGCTGGTCTTGGCGGCTGCAAAAAGGCGTATTTGTGCGATGGTATGGTTTCCAGGTGAATTCGTGTTCATCGGAAATGACCATAAACCCTTGAGTATGGATTTTAGACAACCTCCATAAGGGTTCCATTCAGAACATCAAGACCATGATTCGCAGAAGGAGTTTTTGTTCGTGGTACATGTACATCATTGTCAGAAGGGTGAAAGCAATAGTACACCCACTGTCTTCCCTTTGGCAAGCATACAGCTTGAATGTTTATGGCATGCATACAATTTGGCCAGCTTGTGGTTGAAGCTTTGAGCCACCATGTTACGTCTTGTCGTAGCACGGCCAAGTCAAATGATTCAATAAAGACATCGGCAACGACACCGGTAGCAAAATACCCGAGCTTTGCTAATGGAGGATATGCAATATTCACATCCATCGTTGCGTCTATAATCAACTTTGTGTTTGAGCTTTGCATCCTGCTCAAGAGGTACTTGATGCGCGCATTGTTGACAATGCGAACCATGCTTTGCACACCCATTGAACACTACATGAAACTCAATATTGACCCATTCTGATGAATTAGTGCAAACAACACATTTTTGTTCAGTTCTTTTTTTTGAATTGAGCTCCGTTGTAGAAGATGTTAGTTTGCACGCGATTTTCGGAATGATCATGCAACACATTGGCTGACAAAACGGCTTGATTGCCGTATGTCAAGGAGTGCCAGATGTCCTCAGTGCTTGCTGAGATAGCTCTCACAACCGAAAGCAGAGTGTCTTGAAGCTTGGTCTCAGAGGGTGCTTCGCTGACGACCAAGCAGGCTCAGTTAGTGGAGCCGGCATCCGCATTTGCTGGAAATCTACGTGCACCATGGCCAATATATTCTTCAAGCTGCTGTCCCGTTGCATCACGCGCGCTTGTTGCCCCCAGAGGCAACATCGATTCACTGCTTCAGTTTCTAAGGTCCACAAGCATTGTGAAAGATCAGGTCAACGAAGAAGGTCACTTTTCTCAAAGTAATCGTGCAATATATTGACTTGCCTTGCCTTTCAACATCTTTCAACATTTTCCGGGGGGGGGAGAGAATATTCAGATGGAGGGACAGGAGATTTGTTTTCCGCAGGCAACCAGTTGGGGCTGTCCACACGCGGAGTGTTTCCTTTGCCTTGGGGTCCAAAACGAGGTGAGCTTCGGCTTTCGCCCCGCAATTTGAAAGTCGTCGGGATAGGGACATTGTTCTAAACGTGCACCGCGTGCGTAAGGTTTTGAAGGAAATTCGTGGACCGAAAAGGCTCCTTCCGCTTCCGCGATGCATGCTTTCCTCTGCTCCACCCTTCCGCGGCTTCTGTTTTGCAATCTTTCCGCAAGTGGCGCAGCAAGGAATGCAAAAATAGTGAAGCAGTTCCTGTCAAACAAATCTCCCGCACGCACATCCGCCAAAGGAATGGAGGGCCCGCGGAAGTTCCGAAGCTTGAATGTTGTTTTTGTTTATGATGCAGCGGGGTATTGCGAGCAAACAGGGACTTGATAGCGGGGCTGTACGCAGTGCTCAAAAAGTCGTCCTTTCCGGCTGACTGCTTTTCTCGCCTTGTGGTGCCCAATCTGAAGGAAGATTGTGTTTTGTGCATGTTAGGGGGCATGTCCTTGGAAACCTTTTGGTTCATGTAGGTGAAATATGTTTTGGTTGGAAAGGGTATTTTAGTTTCCAAAGGCGAAAACTTGCGAGGGTTGGAATAAACAGTCTCGACGTTCCAGAAGGTCCCTCTGCAATCACTTCCGCCCGAGGCAATCCTGCTGCTTCCATGGTGCCACCAGGTTGGGAGATCCTGAGGATTTCTTTCTTTCGGGTTTTTGCGGCATTGGAGATGTTGGGATATGAATCTTAGTGGACGGGGGCAGTGTGTTTTTGTGTTTTTAGGTAGGGGGTGCTGTGAGTGTTTGGGGAGTGCTCCTGGGCACCCTGCAATGGCGCCATGAGGTGCGAGGCCCAACCACTTGAATCGTAGTGAAATCGAGTTCGGTGGGAGGTACTCCGGTTCTTTCATTGTGATTTGCAGTTAACCGGTTCTTTCGGGTACTCCGGTACCGCTTCTTGTCAATCAGTTCTTTGCTAGATGAAAGCAGCAACCAATATAAGCATGCAAGCTCTGCAATCCCGGCCGTTTTTCCTGCAAGTCCTTGCGTGAGAGGCTTCCAACAGCCGAATATCAAGTTTCTATGGAGCTTGAGCTTTCCCACATCCTCTGTTAGACGCAATACAACAGTTTCTCTCTTGCTATTTTGCTTGTGGCCCTGCGCAACGCAACAACCTCCGCAGCTCAAACCAATGGAATTGATGTGACCTTGCTATGACCCCGTCGTATCCACTCCTCCCCGTTGGCACGTAACATGTCGTCCAAGCAATGATGTGACTAAAGTGTGTGAGGTGTAAGTGTACCAAAGAACCAACTCGAAGTGCGCTGACTTTCTGGAACTTGCTGAGCCTACATATGAAAAGAACTCAAGGTTTCAAATCTTTGGACTGTGGCACGGACGCGAGGCTGGCTTCTTCAGTCTCGGCTCTGGGAACGCGGCGCGCTTAGCCTGGAAGACCTGGCCGGATCCCACACATAATTTACTAGCGGTTAGTTCTGACGCATCATCATATTTGTGGACATTTGACTTGCCAATTCATGCAAGTGAGTACCACCTAGCGTTCTGCCATTTCCTGGATATTGCGCTTAGGCTCATGCCAGTTGCATCAATCCTTCCCTAGTGGCAGGCAACAGCCTCACGTCCGGTCACTGTTCACTAGTTGTGGCCCGGCTAGCTTGGGAAACACGTCAGCGTTTGACTGTTGCTGGATTTGTCAGCAGATTGGTTTTGGCGAAATCTTGTACGGCATTGCATTCACTTTTACAAGTCTAGCCTTTCATGTTCATGCGCATCTTTAATTTCACAGCCGATAAAATAAGTTTTGCAACTCTGCGCTTGTCAGGTTGGACTTGCTGACAGCGGGGTTCACAAACTTGGTCCGTAACCGCGGCTTTATTTGCACTGAAAAACGAGAGGAAACGAGATAGAATGAGCAAGATGACCAGCTGAGTCGCTCTCCGGCCTGCGCGAGCTTGCATTTGGCTTCACACCTCACGTGGTTTGCGCAAATACTAAGATGTACTTCTTGCATTCCCCATCGATGCTGCTTTTTTGGACTGGCCTTGTGGTCAGCGCTCGCCGCTTCGACACGCAAGTGGCGGTAAAGGAGCGTTCGGTTTATTACGACCCCTATGAAGGGCTGGCCTGCTACTGCAAGCAAGCCGAGTCAGAGGACAGAGAGTTGATGCATCATTGCTTTATTTCTGCATTCCACTGCCTTTTGGTCTGCTCCACACGACTCCCTTGTTTGCTCATGGTAGGTGTAAGGGCTCCTGTTTCCCAATAGCATCTCTGAAACATGGGCTTTGGTTTACGTTTCGGGCAGGACCAGTGCCCAGATGAGAAGGCCACGAATGTGGGGCCTAACCGTTACCGCATGTTCCACAGCGAGGAGAAACAATGTTGCAAGCTGTCCTACACTTCTATGTTTACCTGGAAGGGCTGGAGTCACTTGGCAGAGTTCTGCGGCCGAAGCGTTTCGAGTGCTGCCTCTGTTGCTGACGCGGAATGGGTCAAAGTCGTGGAGACAGTGTTTGGCTAAAGCGGCTGTTGCCTGTCGTTGGTGATAGATCGCAGCTGGCTATGTAAGTCAACAAGATGCCAGCAATGTTGCGTAGTGAAGCGGCAGTGCTACACCTCTTCGTTGGCGTTGTCCTGTTTACTATGTCTTTCAGCTGGATGATCACCTAAATATAGTATATAGATCAGTCAACCAACGAAGGCTTTCTGTTCTTTGGCCACTTGAGCAGTGTTCTTGGAGCGCAATTGAAAAGAAGTGGGGAAAGGGACATTGTTCTGAATATGTGATAATATCTGTGATACACCTGCACAAGGTTCGCGGAAGCCCTGTTTCACATTGTTGGACACGGGCATGGCGGCTGTCACATGTAATTATTGCTTTCTCGTTTGAGGCTACAACAAGCAGGAGGACTTCTCACTCTGCGACAATGAGACGAAGAATATGTCAGAGTCCTGTTGCACTGTGGAGGACCGCTTTGGATCGTTCAGCATTCGGGTGAGTTCTGTGACTGTCACCAATTTCGTCCTCAAGAATGGTGGATCCGCTTCTGACCGAGACTTCAGGAGATGGGTTACGGGTAAGGCGAGAGAGATCGACAGGAATGATTTCTAGTCCATCCGAAATGAAAAGAGTAACGGAGTGAATCCCACCGAAATCTGTGCTTTCAGGTATGAGTACCACGCAAACCATCCGTTCACAATCAATAAAGCCATGAATGGACCACCCCATTGTCTTGAGAAGTGCGGGTGGGCCCCTCAACACAATGAACGCATTGCGGAGCCGGAACAGCAACTTCGCAGGATATCGGCGAAATAATCAGATTACATGACAAGGAGGCAATTCAGATTGAGTTGTATAGTAGTGCATCAGGGTTCTGCAGGTCTGTGGACCACTGCCGGCCCTTTTGTGTCTCGCTGGCCTCTTGGCAATCGTACCCTGGAGGAAGAGCTTGCCCTACTTTTACATAGAGGACATCATTGGTGCCACGGATTTTGACGGCACGCCGGTGAATATGTCAGACGCGCAGGCTCGATCGTAAGAACTGTGTGTCGCTTCATGACAGTTTGGAGGAACGCTCTGCGATCCACTTGGTTCAGACTTGACGTGGGTAGATGTGTTTGGAGTGTTTGGTGCCGTGTTTCTGCAACAGTATGTGTTGTGCGCTGCATCAGCATGGTGTATGTTCTTCGGTGTGTGAGTGTTTGCCAGCTTCTGTTAGTGTTTGTCGGCGTTTGTCCGTCTTTGATTCTGTTTGGCTCTGTGTTTGTTTGCCTGACCGGCTGCCTGTCTATCCTGTCTTGTTTTGTCCAGCCTTGTCTTCTGTTTGCGTGTGTCTGTTCTTGTCGTTGTATTTGTAGGCTTGTGCGTTTGTGCGCTCTTGCTGGCCTGCTGTCTCGCTTGATTGTTTGCTTGCTTGCTTTCCTGCTCGCTTTCTTGCTTTGTTTGCTTGAATGCCTACCGTGCTTGCTGGCTGGCTGGCTTGGCTGACTCGTTGCTTGGTTGCTGATTGGTGTGGTTTTTCCAGGAGTTTGCCCGCTTGCAGCTGGACCAGCCAGATCGTTATGCTGCTGAGCGCAGCAATTCTGCGTACATCCACAACGGGAGGCGCTTGTTCTGCAACCGCGGCTTGAGGAATGTCCCCAGAGCTGATGGCACCTGCCTGCTTCGCAAGTCTAGCGACAGGCAGTGTGGCTTGGTGGCAAAGGGGACGACTTGACTTTGGGACTGTGGTCCACATGAGAAAGGTATCAAAAACCCCGCGCCTTGATGTAAGGCTTCATCCGGACGGGAGGTGTGTGTGTGTGTGGAACGCCTGTGAAGCGATAAGGCAGAACAAAGGAGAAACGAGCACGTTTGTTTTTACTACTATTTACTACTGCTGCTGCTGCTGCTGCTGCTGCTATATCCACCAACTGCTCACAACTCCCTGGATTATTTCATTAGGGACTACATCAATCATTCTACATCCATCACGCGCAACTACACCTTCGACTCAACTACTACCAGGCGCGCGGCTCACCTACATCAACTTCTCAGCAAGTTCACCCTGCGCAACACACTGCCCAATGGCTAAATTTGGGACTACCACTTGCTCATCACACTCGAGCCCGCTACAAGACGCATCCTCATTAGAGTTTCATCGACTACTACTTCGAACCTTACGACAACTACCCATCACTATGCCAGTGAATCCGGTAAAAGACAACAACGTGACCCGGGGAGGCGGACAGGAGTTTCACGACTACCTCAATGATGCATCCGCCAAGCATTGGAGGACATGATTGTCCTACAGAGGAACTACTTTCGAGAGCGCTCGACATGAAGTTCTTCGGGAACTACACCTTGTTGATCTACACCAACTTCGGCACTCAGGTTGACTGCCAAGCCTGAACAGTCGGCGACTTGGTACATACTAGAGTAGCATTGATGAACAGCAGTGCTTTCATCACTACTGTCAATCCTTTTTAAAGCTACAGTTGTAAGATACTACAAGACCACTACAGCTGAGGGTCCGTGTCAATGTACATGTGGTGTGGTACTACATAGCTTGTACACGACGGTAGGTCTTGAGCTGATCACTACATGAGCCCATGTAAAGAAGCGACTACAGGTTGGACTGGTTGTGTTAGCAACAGAACAGCGCTGGCACTTGTAGTAAACAACAGTTCGATTTTAACAAGAGAGAGAGAGAGAGAGAGGGAGAGATAGACAAAAACAGAAGGCAGACAGGATGTATCCTTCAGAAAGGACCGCGCGCAAACACAGCGCAAAACCAGTCCTTCAGCCTGTCAAACTCTCTTTTGCCCAACGTGTCCGATGAACAGAGCGGAGATCCCGCTGTTGCATCCGGAGTTTATTGCACCCATCACGTAGTCTTCTCTGCACGCCGATATCTCCAGAGTGTTTCGTGCTGGATATGGCACGAAACCCCTGTTGTTTGACTTTGGCTGTGGACTGGCGCAGACACCTGGCTATTCTGGCTGTTTCAACCAGCTCTGTTCACGAAGTGCAGAAATCTGTCAGTTTTCCTCGCTTGGCAAGGGATGCTGCGGCGGCTGCCCTTGTCTTGTAGCGGCCCAAAGTTTGTCCTTGTAATTAGGGTGCGGCAGACAGCTGCCGCATTCTGGCTGCGGCGACTGCCACTTTCTGAGAGCTGTTGTGGAACTGGCTGTCTCACGCTTGTCACCCATCCTGCTTCCAATTATGCTGGGACAAGGCCCGTGTTTGCGTTTTGCTGAGGTAATCATTGCATACTGTATTTCTTGACAGGCATGACAGGCATGATCTGGCATGTTTTTAGACCCGGGATTTAGTGACGGCTCACATCCGCCGCTTTGTTCAGGCAAAGCACAATGGCTTGACAAGTTTGACAGTGTTCATTGCGAAATTACTTCGGCACCAATCGTTGGACATGACCTGTTTTGCATAGGTTGTTGCCAAGAGTCCCTCATCAAGCCGGCGCGGAAGTGCATGGCAGTGGATGGGGCTCCAGTCGACGTTGCCACATACTTTGTGGAAGGCGGGTGCTTTCTTGTGGACTACTGCTGGGAAGAACTTATCCCCATGGCTTTGTCAAATTGATTTGCCGTTGTTAGGTGGCGCACGCCGATGTGTAAATGCGCAGGAATGTACATGCACAGTTCAGACCACGGTCACTGGACTGGTCGCAGTTCGTGGCCCAAATGCTGTCCAAATGCTATTGTGTTGTTTTGGTCCAGCTTTGGCTTGTTTTGCTCCGAGTTAGCGCAGAACTGCTGCAACGCACGGCCGACCAGCATGCAGATAATTTTGCCGCCTTCACCACTGATTTGATGCCTTTGCTTGGGATCCTTAGCTTCTGACACACCCGCGCAGGAATCTACACACGGCGTTCAGAGCATGGTCATTGGACGGGGAGCGTTTCGATGCGGTATAATATACTCACCTTCCAAAGTGATCAGCGAGAGGAGAAGATGCCGACAACCATCTCTGCACCGGATGCACAAGCAGTTGACCATCCTAAAACAGAGGCAAACGAATCGGAGATGATGTTCAACTGGGCGAAGATGGATCAGTGGAGCCGGAGGTGTGTTCAGCAGAAGATGGTGGAGTTTGTCAAGTCACACTCCCACAGCAAGAGGGTTCGTGCCGGCTCAACTTGCACCCGAGTTGGCAAGGTTACGACCTGCCGACCGAGATACAGAACCAAACGGTGGACGACTCACACTCAGGAGTATAAGAGTGAATGCATCAAGTATGAGTACACTCGTGCTTGTCCGGCAGGGCAGGGCATGTATGAAAAGCAGATTCCGGAAGGCCAATGCATGAAGCTTGGATGCCAGCAACTTGTTTTGTTTTTTTAACCAAAGAGCGGAGTTCTTGCCCTGCACTGCCAGCTTGCCACAAACTGGAACGGATTGCAAGCATCCTCATTCTAAAGTGACGCGCTTGCACATCGCAATCCTTCAAATGGTCACTGTGTACGAATCTCTCGGCCTGACAAAAGGACTCAATGTTGTAGCATCACTTACCAGACTTGTAGGGCCGTTCACATTTGGGTTTTTGCAGAACATAGAGTCTTCACTGTTCTTTGCAAGTGTTTGTTGTCTTTTAGTTCTCTTCAATTGTAGTAGGGGGCTGCAAAAAGCAAACCACTGTTTGCTACGATGCCAAGGGTTGTGAAGGCGTGTTCTTTGTCCCATACTTGCCCGAGGACAGAGCCCAGCGCCAGCAACAACGATGAGCTGCAGCTGGTGGAGGTGGGCCCATTGAGTCACGAGTGCCCAGACATGCACGTCAGCGGCCTCGCGGGGAACCGCATCTTCAGCGCAGCCTGCGCCTGCAGCTGCTGAGCGCCATCCGCTTTCCACGAGCTGTGGCCGAAAGGTTGCGGAGCGTCGGTCCAAAGCCGCTGTGCGCCGAGATGCGCCGAGATTTTGCCAAGAGGAAAACTGCATGCCCTCTCTCCCACTAACATGCCTCCAAGAGGAATCCGATCTTCCGGGTACCCTCCCACAAGTGCCACGTCAGTCGGAGGAAGGGCAACAGTTGCAGCAGGAGCAATTCCTTTCATTAGCCCTTCGTACAGAGGCGTTCATCATCATGACTTGCTACCCACGCCCTGACGACATGCTTCAAACAAAGGTGAGATTCGACTTGTTTGTCCCTGGTCAATCTCGATATTTGTTTCTTCGAGGTCTCCCATATGCATCCAGATCTCGCATGACATATGCATTCAACCGAGCTTGTTACCAACTCTTCCTTGAGGAAGCCTCGTTGTTTTCCCGGCACGTAACATGGTGTTTAGTGCCCTTGTGTGGAAGTCTTGCTGGCCAAGCATACGTTGCCGAAAGCAAAGGATCTGCAAGGTGGATTTGCATGGCTCGCGTTGGAGTTTCTCCGAGTCAGCCATAATGACTGTCTCTGTCATAGTGTCTGTTTGGCATTTGCCTGTTGCATTCGTGGGCTTCCCGTCCAGATTCGTGTTTGCCCCCGAGATGGGCCTGTTTCCCACTCGCACCTGGGACTGACTCAGGCTGAAATGGGAAGTTCTGACCCATCGGAAGCGACGGGATCGGTCTGCAAGGCTTTGGATGGTCTGCAAGGGTTGCTCGGCGAACAGGACCAACAGCTCGATCGATGTACAAGACAGCGCCAAAACTCCAAACAAATTGTGTTTCCTGTTTGGGTTGTCCGTGATGCGTGGAGAGCTTGACACATCCTAAATTGCATCGGCGAATTCGGGGCTCTCTCAACATGTGCAAAGCACCAGGGCATGAGTAATTATTGAAGTTCTAGATCCCACAGATGGTGAGAAAAGCGGCACAGTGTTTGCTCATGTGTACTGCTGTGTTCGCCAGTACCAATAATAGCAATGCGTGCAGCAGCTTCGCCAAGACAAGTGCACAGGAGTTGCATTCGCCGGAGACACACGGCTTAAGCGAATCTCAGCCTCATGGCGCAACTTTCACGGCCAGCGAGGTGTGTTGCAGCCAGCTTGTAGTAGCCAACTTGTCTCGGGCCATTCAAAGGCGGGACCAGGTTGGAGCTGTCTATTCATGACATGGATCAATGGGAATCTTTGGATCGACATCACGCATGTTGACAGCAGTTGCCAGCCGGCTTGTGTTTGTGAATAAAATCCTCGGACATTTGAGACAAGTCAGAAAGGCATCGAGCCGGAAAAGGCCGCCAAGACCAAGGGACCACCGTCTCAAGGGACCCTCAGGCCGTTCACTTGAAGTCAGCTGGGGCGAAGAAGCCATGCAAACATGTCGGCGCCTTCCGCTGAGCAGAGGATGCAGAGGAGCTCGGTGATTCAGTGGCTCTGGGCGCCTTGTTGTTAGCTTGACTGCTGTTGGGTTGGGGGTTTTTAGACTTTAGCTTTTTGGGAAATCAAGGGGTTTTCCACTAAACCCCCCAAAAAGTTAAACTTTTTGCACGGGGGTCAACAGCAACCAAGTTAATGGATGTTGCCTTTGAATTCAATCAAACAAAGGATGCTTTGTTCTGTTGTTTCCCATAGAAGCCATGCGGTGTGCCATTTGTTTACCAGGCCTTGATCCTTTGCCCTAGCAAGAACCTCGCTGGAGACTTTCTGTGATTTGATGGGACAAATTATGGTACCTCCTTGAATTGTCACGTGAATCAGCCCAATTGCCCAGTGGCGCATTTGTCTGCATTTTGTGTGGGAAGGGTTCCCCTTTAAGCTCAACCAACCAAGAAAGGATGGGCATCTGAGTCAGTGAAATAGTCACTGGGAAGGCCCAGAGTAGTAAAATCTTGCCGCCAGGTTTCACAGTCAAACTTGGCCCAGCGCTGTTCTTCCTTTTTGGCGCGGGCTCAACTCTTGTTGTCCCGCATGTCGTGTTTTTTTTGGGAACTCACGGCAATGTCTCGTTTCGGGCGATGCTCCATCTCTGTGAGCTTGGCCGAGGCTCTGCCCAACATTCCGCGGGGGTGTTAGACACGGTTGATCCTCAGTCCTGTGTGTCGTGGGTAGAAGCTCCTGCCTTATAATAATTATCTGCGTGAGTCTCCGTCTGCGCCAAGGGGCATTGGCAGGTGTGTAAACACTTGACCGTCTGACACCTTCTCTATGTCTGCTTTTTTTTGTTTGTGAACCAGGGCGTTAGAAGACATGCATGTAGCAGCTGAATGCTTGAACTTATGCAAAGGCACCTTCATCTCGGAGCAAAGCGAGGTCATGGAATTGCCTAATTCAGGGTCAGAGCCATTTACGGAGTTGGGTGTTTCCCAAAGTCAGGGAGCCCTCGTTGATTGGTCATTGGTCATTGAAGGGGAACTTGGGGAAACGCAGCGGGAAGCGTCTCGTAGGGCGATCCATTCGCTTTGAGCCTGCAGGATTTGCAGCCTACAGGATACGAAGAGCAGTTTGGATGCATCAAGGGGCGGCGTGCAATCGGGACACATCATCCAGGGTGAGGACAAAACTGGAACTGTTTGAGCAGTCCCTTTGAGCAACGGACATTTGCACGGAGGCAGTCTTTTTGTTGGCCGCAGGCATCAGCAGCCCAGAAGTACTCATGGAACTTTCCAGCAACAGGTCACTGGACTCGCGCACACATGTGTGCATAGAAGTTGGACACATGGAGGATGTGGTGGCAAACCAACCTGCGAATGTGCTCGAACGCAAAGTGTAAGGCTCAGCCAGCGTGGTTTGGTCGCTCAACCACCTTCGTCTTATTTCGGGCCAGGAACATCCCAGCAGTATTTGCTGATTCGGCTTGCCACTGCGGGAATGGAGTGGTTTTCTTGCAAGCCGCTCTTTCAACCCTTTGGTTGCCCAATCTTGCTTATGTTTAGTGGAGGTTCCAAGGCGAGCCTTTGTTTCATGTCGTTTATGGCATCCAATTTCTGTCAGCGTGTGTGTTTTGTCATGCTGTCCTTTGGAGAGATCAAACGAGCTTTGCACAATGGCAACGACTATAATAAACGGTTGGCGTATATTCTGACGATACTGCTGATGTTTGCAGGCTTTGATCCTACGTTTGTCCTTTCTCATGTGGCGCAAATTGCTTCTTACTGAGTGTAGATCATACAATTTATCGTGTTGTTCTCAGTCGCATGGCGGAGCAACGCCCAGTTGTTCTTTGATTGTATCTATCCCATCCCTCCTCTCCCACGCCTAACGCCTCAGGTAGCATACCCATGGCAGCGAGAGCTGCAGAAAGAGACGTGGGGATTCCTCAAGTGCCTTGGGCAGCATCGATACAATTGGAGTCAGACTCAGTGTAGGGTTCCCCCGGACGTTTGGTGTGCTTGAGTTTGTAGGGCTATGGTTGTTTGTTGGGGATTGGGACTGGCCACGCTGACTCAACAAATTGGCCTCCACCGCGGGTGAAAAGAGTTCCGCTTGCCATTTGATGGCTTGTGGCTCGTCATGGATATGAGAGGTTTGCGGATGCCCAACAAACAGGCTCATGTTCTGATCAGTGCTTGGACGCTGCTTAAGACCATTGTGGGCCAAGATTGCGCTGCCACCTTGAAGAGTGTGAAGCACGAACTCGTTCACAGTTTTGTTGGCTTGAGGTTGTCAGAGTGCGGTGACAGCTTAGTTCATGTTGTTCACTGACAGCATTCAGATGGGGGCTGACCAAAGGTCCTTTACATGGGATGACCATTGGGGGAAGCCACTCAAAATATGATATGTCCCTGCTAAATGCAGAGAATTACCCATGCAAGAAATATTGATCAACCTGCATACCCAGGAAGGAGATGGTGGGATACTTCCGGAATTCCGTGGAGAGGGACTCCACTGTCCACATGCGTGCGGATCCGTGGCCTCGGTTCACCATGAAGGAGCGGCGAGCAGACTCGCAGTGCTGGATTTCCTTTCCGTGCCTCTGGCCCAGAGCTATAATACCTTGGACGGTGAACTCCTGAAAGTTTGCACACGTTCTCATTGCTAAGGAGATGTGGTAAGGCCCCCAGGAAAGAGGTATGGGATATGTTTTAGTTTTTTTTTTTTTTTTTGCAGTTTTGATGAAGTGCCATCCAGACCAGCACATTCAATGGAACACCTCGGCACGCGCACGAGAGGAGTACCTCCTAGAAAACGGCCTGCTGCCTGGTGTGATTTGCAAGTACGGGCCCAACCGGAAGGTCACCTTCAACAAGGCTGAGATGGAGAAGCGTCTTGGCATGTGTGGTTCGGTGGCCCTGGGCAGGACCTAGGGTGTTCGAGCCAAGCCTAGAGGCGAACAGGGAGCTGCAAGACAGTTTGTGTGTCCACGCGTTTGCTTGTTGTGCTTGCTTTTTGGCTTGGTTGCTTTCTTGCTTGCTTGGGTTGTTTGGTTAGGTTGTTTGGTTGTTTGGTTGTTTGGTTGGTTGGTTGCTTGCTTGGTTGCTTGGTTGGTTGGCTTTGCGCGCAAAACCCGTAGTGACCTCACGCCTGAACAATTAATAGCGCGGGTTTTGTTATGGGGCTTCCTTGTTTGCGCTATCTAAGCATTGCGACCTTCTTGGACTGCTGGCAGCTCGTTGCCCGGGCTTCAACAAGCCTTCAGGTGAGAGGAGATCAAGTCATATGCATCGCGGGCGAAGATGTAGAAACGTAGCCACGGTTGAGAAGCGGTTTGACGTGATCAATCGGAGCGATGGTTGGCGAAGCAGACTTTGCTTCACTTGTTCGACATATTTGACTTGGAAGTGGTCCATTTAGCTTGTCACTCGAGCGCACCTCCTATGACCCCTCCAGCAAGCTGCAGAGCTAGATCATTGTGTCGAGGCTGTTTGATGATTCAAGCTTGAAACTACGAGGAATTCCAACATTTGCGCTCTGTCTCATGGGGATTTGGCATGGAGGTCCTGCCAGCCGGCTTCCGAGGATTGCCTTTGACGAGGAGCAGGGGCACCTGTCGAACCTCTTCAAGGGTAGACTTTTCAGCTCCTCCATTTGCATTGGCAGCGTCAAAACCATTGGGTGCCGGTGCTTGGTTTGAGACTTGCAGGGAAGGGCAAATCCACAGGTTGGGGTTAGAACAACTGAGCTGGCATGAGTAGTCCTGGCTGCATCACAAACAGCTAGGCTTTAGTGGTTAGTGTTCGCGCTGAGACATATGATATCAACTTGGGCTGGAGGGTCTAGGCATGCCGCATTTATACATGTGTATCAAGCCCATCGTGCTCAGGACTCCACGTCGGAAGATGGATCGCCGGGCGCCCAGCGAG